TTATGAGACGATTTTTAAAGCCTTCTTCACTACAGGCTAATGGCATGAGGCCTAAGCCCAGTTCAGTTCTGAAGTAATTTCACAAAGAACTAAAATTATTTAATAATGTTCATCTCCATGAAACCAGACTACCACCGCTATCTGCTGGGTCCAGCTGAAGTAACGCTGCTTCAGTGTGGTTGGTAGGGTAATAATATGGGTGAAATAATTTATAGTTTTAACTTGAACATTTCACCTACAATGTCATATGGTGTGCTTGAGTGTGATAGTTATGTTACAGAAAGTGCTTATGACTTTATAGTAAAATATTTTGTAATGAAAAGGGGTGTTATTTGTGCTGGACCCTGTATATGATGCACATATGCATTTTCATATACGAACACACTGTATTTTTACATGTTAGATTAAGAATAGGAGTGAAAACTCAGTCAGAAATCAGAAGGATAGTAGAATAGTGGAATGAACTTTTTGAAAGTTCTATACTCAACAGAAAGTTTAGTGTATATGTCATCCACCAAATGCACTGTGGCAGTTGGGCAGACCTGTAGATCCCACTGTCTCATTTTTAAATATTATTCTATGAAGCCCGTTTATATATTTATTTCCATGTTATCGACAGAAAAAGTGATAGAAAAAGAAATAGAAAAACACCTCCCAAGGCGACATTCAGGTCAATAGTCCAGCTTGAACTATAATTCCACTCAGTTCAACTGTTTATTGCATGCCTATGTGGTAGATGCCACAGGGGATTCAAAAATGAACGACTCCGACTGTGACCTCAAGAACATGCAATGTGATCTAAGAGTATATATGAAAGGGATGCAGAAGCGGGAAGGAAAAAGTACTCCTACAATATCAAGCAGAGTCAAACATGTGCCTTAAACAAGGCACAAAGTTCTCTATGGGCTCTACAAGATCACATCCTTTTGTGGAGGGTGTCCCTCCCAATAAGCCTGTAAGGAAAAGTGGAAGATGCATAGATGGAGATGGACTATGAATTCAAAAGCAGGAGGAATGGCAAAGAGCTAGTAACACATGGTACATAGTCAGCAAGCATCAAGGAAACACATTTGGTCGGAGTATTAAAAAACATACAGAGGAGAGAGGGGTAGGAAAGTAGTTTGAGAACACACGCTTGAAGCCCATGGTTAAGAGATTGTATTTAAAGGAAATGGCTCAAGACTTTAGGTTTCACGATTGAAGTTGTAGATCAATCCATTCCTCTTTATACTCTATCTACCACAGCAGGTGTCTTTTAAAAAGCAGAAAGCTTAGACAAAACTGAAAAGAATCCATATTAGCTACCTCTTTGCATGAAAACATAATTCTTGCAAAGAAAACTGTTTAGAGAAAGTTCTTCCATTATCTTTACTCAAGCACATTCTCTTTGATAGAAACCCATTTCTAAAGATCAGATTTCACAAATGCACAATGTTCTAATTATAATAATTCAAAGTCTCTATGCAGACATCCATGACCTAAAACCTTATCTCTGACATATATGTTGTAGATCACACTGATGTCCAGTCCAAACTTGCCCAACTTCAGGCTTCAACTTGTATCTATTATCTAAAAAAAAAAGGCTCTCACATTTCATATTTTGAAAATTTTTATATGCAGTCACAAGTAATGGCTATTATTTGTCTGAGGCATACATATGAACACTTAGAAATTTTATACTAGTGACAGTTTATCTCAACAGAGACACTCTCATAACTCCAAAATTATTAATATTTCAAACTAAGTTTTATAATTCCAATGAAAGCAGAAAGTAACAGAAAAATATCAAACTGGAGAAACAACTAAAAAATGTAAATAATCTGTTCAAAATAAACTGTCCCTAGAATATAACAATATTAGAAAATTTAAAAAGTTAAAATTTCCTTGGGCCCCAAACTAGTTTTGCTCTTTCTACTAATAAACTAGTTCATTACCATTGTAGTACATTAAGTCACATTAAGAATAATCAGATCAAACTCTAACAACATGTTTTAGGCTTTTTTTCCTCACTTAAATTTCAGAATTCTTCAAGACATTAAGACATCCTTCTCCTTTGACATTTCTAAACTGTTTTTCAGAAACTTCATTGTGTAAAAATGAGTGTCTAATAATACAGATTTGAGATTTATAAAATTTAGAATTATCCTAAGCTTATTTTTCTCTAAATACTGGTGTTGAGATATATATTTAGTATGAGCAAATACTTTTTAGATATGCATAAAGTACATTCAATCTTAAAGTTTAATTAATTATATAATAATTAACTTTTAATGAGAGGTACTTTAAAGTTATCTTTTTGGCAATTCCACAGTAATTTTTAAATAATCTGCAACAATAATGCAAAAGAGGGTGTCTTGTTTTTCCACTGCACTTTTCCACTGTACTTTCCACAAGAAGTATTCAAAGTGTACGTCTTTTTACACGTCAGGGGTTGAATGAATAGTTAATTTCAATAAAAGCAAATATATAATGAACTCTTATTAAATTGCCATGCATTGATAAAAACTGAAATACCAAAAAAACTGTAAATATGAAAAACAAAATATTAAGGACCATTAATCAGATATTTGAGAAAGATAGGAATAGAATACCATAGCAGTTTTTCTGCCCTCTGGTGGCAATAAAATTAACTGCGGTTTGCTGAAGTAATGCATAATAAAATAGCCCTGTTATGAAATCAGATTTTTCTCCCCATGCCAAATTGTCTGTAATAAAAATTCTGATTGTTACATGCCAAATCTCAAGACTGTTGGGCCCTTTTTTATTTACTGTGTTGAACTTTTAGCGAGACTACTTCACAAAAGAAGCGGTATTTTTTCTTCCATTCATTGCTGTATTTTATATATTCAGTAGACTAACCATTTAATTCCAAGATTATTTCATAAAACTGTATGGACTAGTATCCAGAAAACTTCAGTTTGAATAAATCTCCAAATGCATTTGTCAAGAAATTTAAAAGTATTCCTTTTTCACTCAATCCTAAAAATATACAGGTTTCTAGAGTAGTTTTCCACCAGAAATATTGGATTAGTTTATGATACCTGAATATTTATGTTGAACAATATAAGTATTTCATGTTTCCCAAACCAAAGGTTTTTAATTATCTAACCAATTTTAGAGTGAAATGAATTTCATCCTCAATAACTTAGAATAGTAATTTCTTGTATATATATTCTTTCCACATTAATATAGTATTAATGAAAATTTTCAGAAAAAAGAAAAATCTGCTGACCTTTCTTTTATCTTTTACTGTAATGCATTACTTACACCCAGTGCCAAAGAAGTTTTCCAGTAACTTCGGATGCATTTTGGCACACACACCACTAACCTCCTTTGAAATGAATTAAATTGTTTACATGCTTAAAGCCGTTCATTTATTCCATAAATACGTCCATGAAAATTACTGGTGCACCTTTTAGAATAAATGTGTTGTTTCCTGGAGGGGTCAGTCTTATTTGTTCTTTAACAAATGGTTTGTGTCAGAGAAATAAACAGAGGTATGATCTACTGATCTAAATAATACCTAGTCAAGAACGACCTATGTCCATGCATGGAGAACAATTACATGTGTCAAAGACGAATCAACATCCAGGAAATTTGCATTTTATTCACAGTTTTAAAAGTGTTGTTATCATGTTGCCCCAGCGCTCCCAATACAAGCACACACACACCCTGCAATCATGAATCTGTGCTTCCTCTAAAAATTTACAACTGGGTTAGACACAGTATTTGAGCTGTCTTCTAGGTCCCAGCTTGTGAGATTTCATTCACGGACCTCCTTCGAGATGCACTTCACCTGGAATCCCCAGGTTCCCTCTCTAGCTTTCTTTCATCTGCCACTTACATGTTTGACATTTTCATACACTTGTGTACTTCCGGATAAACACTTACCATCCCCCACACCCCGCCCTCAGAATGAAAACAAAACCTTATTATCCTAAACAGAAATGTTTCCTTGTGTTTCTTGTTTATTTTCTCATTTCACCTCCTCTCGAAGTCCACTCGAGTTTACAAATTTCTGCCAAGGTCCCCCTCTGACTGTTTCTTCGCTTTCTTCCTGAGGGGTGGAAATGGGGGGCAGCACCGGTTGGCAGTGGGTAGGGTCGCGGGAGGTATAGCCCGGATGAGCACCTCGCTTGGCGGAGCCGGCAGGAGGCGGAGGGCGGCTTTCAGGGCTCCGCGCTCGCCCCGGGGGCGGGGGCGCGGCTCCCGGCTGGACGCACTCCTGGGAGGAGCAGCCGCAGGAGCAGGAGGCGCTGCCCCTGGGAAAATGAAGATGCCAGGGCTGCTCGGGGCGAGGGGCGGTGGGCAATGTCAGGGCACTCGGAGGAACCCCGGCACCTTTAGGCCTGTCTACTAAGCCAGCCGCGGCGTACAACGACGCCAAGGGTCGGTCTACAGACCCGCGCCCGCTCCACCTCTGCCACCTCCTAGGCTCCTCCGCTCTCCGCCGCACCCACTCCGCCCTACTTCCAGCACGCACTCAGCACTAGACAGAGAAACGGAGCTAAGCCGGGGGTTGCGTACAGGAGAAAGGTGAGGCAACTGGTAATTGTGTCCAGTAGACCCAAGCCCTGCAATCCCCAGCTGCCACCACGTCTCCCACCCACAGCCCCCATCACACGCTCGCTCAGTTTATCCCGGCGGCAGGGAAGGAGGAGGAGTCGGAGATGAGACAGCCCCGGGATGGCAGCTCCTGGGCGAAGTATCCACAGATTTGCTCTGAAACCAGAGTCCGTTCTGGTGACTTGGGGGAGTCAGTACCACCCCCTGGCGCTCAGGTGACGCAAGCCCGAATCCTCAAGAAAACCCCCAGGCCCCTCCATCCTTGCTAGCCAGCCCTATTTTCCCCATTTGGGAAGCCCAAATTTACCCGAAAATCAACTGCATTAACTTTCCCAAGGGCAGACCGATGAGGTGGGGGGCGGGTGAATTGAGAACAGGGGTACCAGAGAGGTCTTTAGCTGCGCACAAAGTCAACAAGCGAAAGTGCATCTTACCACTGATTTGGTTTCCAGGCTCTCCTTCAGCGAACTGAAACCGGTCCATTAAAAAGTGGCAAAGTAACACAACTCCTGCAGCGGCCAGGTCGGCCCTCGGGAACCTCGCCATGCCGCCGCCGCGACCTCCCTCCTCCTACCCGCCAGTCCTTCCCTGGCGCCCTGGGCTCCCAGTGGGAATGGGGATGGCAGGGCTTAACGCTGCGGACAGGTCTTGGCAGTACCAGGAGTCCTCTGTATATTTCGCTGGGATTTCACACCCTGCAGCAAGGAGAAGGAAGGGAGTACGAGGGGAAGCGCAGTCCTCTCCGGACCTCCGGGTCTCTCTTCGCAACTTGCCACAACACTCGCAGCCCTCACCCCAAACACAAAACGACACCCACGGGGAGGAAAGACCACTTGCACCCGGGGCTCGCAAACTCTCGCTTCCTCACAGCCAGCGCCACCCCGGTGCCTTCCGAGCCCCGCGATGCGCTCCACTGGGTTCAAAACAGATCTAATTCCACAGCCAGCGCGGGTGCCTCCTTCAAATCCAAGAAAGCAGTCGGCACTGAACGAACTTTCCTTAGTCTTGGGATGGCCCAGAGGGAGGTTTGGGTTTGCGGGAGGGGTTACTGTGGACTGGCGAAACCCCTCCGACAAGTTTTTCTTCTTTTCTTCTCCCGAAGCCGGGCGCGTGTCCTTTCTCGCAGCCGGAGGGATGGAAAGCCCCAAACAGCAGAGACCTGGGAAGACTCAGGCTACAGCAGTCTGAAGTCCAAAGCCAGGAAAAAAAATTTATTAAAAAAAAAGGGAAAAGGAAAAAGAAAGAGATGGGTGGAAAAAAGTCAGGGTGAAACCTATTGGGAGAGGGTTCCTCCTGGCTAAGGAAGAGGTGGCCCCAAGCCCAGCCGAAACCTGGAGTTTGCTGGCGGAGGAGGCGCCGCCGGGCTCCCCAGCGCTCCTGCTCCACACTTTGGGAAGGAAAGGCAGCTCGCAATTTGCCAGATCCGCGGCTGCACCCTCCTCCCTCCTCTCTCTTCCCTCCCCCTTGCTCCTCCAGCCTCCCCCACCCCCTTCCTCCCCGAAACCAGCAGCTAGCACCGACCTGTCCAATGGCTGCACTTTCCTCCGCGCAGGCTGAAAAGTCGCCTAGAGATTATACTCCGGGAGCAATGCAAGGGGTAGTGAGAGGGCAACTCCAGCCCCGCGCACTACGAAAGGCAGCGAGAAAGGCGAACCAGGACGGAAGTGCTGGGTGACAGCTCCGCGCCCACCGAGTGCCATCCCTTCACCCCGCCCGCCCTCTAGACAGCGGCGCCCGCACCCACCTGGCCCTAGCGTCGCCTCCCGCGCTGGACTGCGGGGGCTCGCGGCCCACTGAAGGGGTTCTTCAAGGACGCTAAAGGGTTAATTACAGTTCTCTTCCGGAAGAGTGTGTGTGGCTGTGGTTGGAGTGTGAGGAAAGCAAACCAGAGCGCGCCTGAAGCCCCTTTGGACCCCAGTTCCACGAGGAGAGTCGAGGACGGAGGCGCGCGGCAGCGTGGTCCACTGGCCGCAGCTGCTTTGTAAAGTGTAAGCCGGAGCGAAAGCGAGAGGTTGAAGAAACAGGAGGCCCATTGAATATCCTGCGGAGGCTTTAACTGGCTTTCGCTAGCTAGTTTGTTTTTGTTTCTTCATGCTCGCGGATGTGCTTTAGTGTTAACCCTTTCCACCTCCTCTCATTAGTTTACATCTTATTTTGCAGTTAACCTCATTTTAACGGGATAATGCAAAGAAAGAAAGTAAAGCATATTGGTTAAAAGTACAGATTCTGTAACTAGAATGGGCTGGAATTTCACCTCCCCTACTAAATAGCTATATGAGTTTAAGCAATTTTCTTAATCTCCGTGCCTCAGTTCCCCAACCATCGAATGGGGAGAATTGTAGTAACGCCCTTGTAGGTGTTGTATTGGATTAAATGAGTTAATACTCCAGACTTTAAAGAATTGACATCAGTGCCTGGAATTAAGTACATGACTTTTTACAATGTTTCTCAGAGAAGGGAGAGGAAAGAGGAACTCCTAGATCAAATGGAAATTTCACTTCAGTGTTCTAAGTGCAAAAGGTCTTTTTAGTGTATTCTTGTCCACTCTGTTCCATGCTCGGAGGAGTTTATAGATGCCATCAATAAACACTTTACCACTTTGCTAATTTGATGCAGAAAGAATGGCTGTCTCCTGGTCACTTAGCTGGTGAGAGGGAAAACAGTAAGTGTAACATATTTTCCCCAATTCAATACTCAAGTTGCTACTTATTTCAGAATAAATATGTATTTTTAAGAATTAAATGTAAATACATACATATATATATATATAAAGAGAGATCATACACACTTTGTTATGCCCAATGGCTGCAGTCTCCCAGCAGGTTCATTTCTTCCTCCTCAATATACATAGGAAACCTTTTTTTAAAATTTCTGCTCAACAAGAATTTTTAAGTTCAATGTAATATTACATATAGGACATTACATTGGACATGTCCCACACACCTAGGACACTATCTTTTTAACATTAAATTGGAAAACTGAGTCTTACCAAAATGTGGTTGTCTTTTAACTGATTTTTTTTTCTTTGTCTACATGAATCTACAAGTACCTTGTGGCCTAAATCCTTTGAGTTTCCCAATACATTTCACCATAGAATTGTCTGTTTCAAATTCATGGAGAGAAATTAAGATTTCCTTATGGAAAGTGTTGTTGTCCATCTGACTTGTCAGAAGTGTTATAATGAGTGAGGTCTGTTTCTATTTTACTGTAGTTAACTGAATTGCTGGTTGTTGTTGTTTTTTTAACCCGCTGGTTTAATTTTAGCTCACCTCTCAAAGAACAATGAATCAGAAATCACAGAAGAGTACCACGTTCTTCGTCCATGACAAAGGTGTGGAATTAGAGGAACACTCGCTCCTTTAAGATCTTGGGATCATATCTCAGAATCATTTGCAACTACGTAGAACTTTAGATAGACATTAGTCCCTGAGCTAATTTCTCTACAGATCTCAAACGTGTTTGCAACCCTTATCTATACCAGCTTTCACAGAGGTTTTTAAACACTACATGTGCAATATTATCTTTATAAAAGTAATTATAATTACCCATTTCATCCCACCTGCAACTCTTACTTTTCTGTGTTTCTAAGGACCTGTTGTAAATTGAAGCTTGGCTAACAGGATACTTATTATGCTTACTTAAGGAAAAAATGAGATACAAAACAGGCTGTGGAGTGCTTAGTATTTATTGTAATCTTTATTGTTATTGTTATTAGTGTTCATTTTAATAGAATTTGTTGAAACTCTCTATAGTTGCTGTCAGATAAAGGAAAATTGCTATTAGTGGATTGCTTTAATTCAATCCTAAAGTAATATTACGGCATTTTCCTTTAGGTCTATGGCACTTCCTTTCTCTGCTCATTTTATAGGGCTAATTTTTGACCTGTAGTATGCAATTGTAAGACTCATTCGTTCATTTTGGCTAACTTCTGCTCTCAGAATCAACAGGAATATCATTACATTATTTATGCATAGTTTAGTTTTTTGCTCTTTTATAGTTTTAAATAAAAATTTTATGAAGTGTTTTGAATCAAATAAGCATTTTAAAAAAATCCACCTAACAGCTAACATTACTCTTTATTTATGGGAACATTTAACATGCAAGATACATAATGCCTTTTATCCTCATATCATTGCTACATTTATGATAGTAACACTAAAATTATTTTTGCTTCATTCATAGAAAAATAATATATTGCTTTAAAGTGGCAAATGTTTATACCATCTTCTTTTTAAGTCTCAATAAGCTAATGGGTGTTTTTGATCAGCATACAGCAAAGTACAAAAACTACTACACAAAATAGTAGAAAATAAATTATTAAAATGGACTTGTACATTCTTTAAAAGGGTAAGAGCATAATCATACACTTCAAGTAGTAACAGTGTGTAGTAGAAACATAGACCTTATCCCTCAATTATATTGAAGATTAATTCAAATCCTACATTTTGTAAGAAAGGAAAATGGGCAAGTGCTCAGCAAGCACTTAGTGAATTAACACATAAAATAGACATGTTAACGAATATGCTGCACAATGCCTAATAATGGAGCAAATGAAAAGTTCTGAAAATGCTGAATGTTGTGGACATCACTGTCAGCCTTAAATCCCATCCAGATTTTTCTGAAGTGATAAAAATATCCGAATTACAGGACATACCAAGGTCTGTCCTGAAAAAGTCCAAACATTATTAATATAATGAGAACTGCTTGCACAACACGGATGTAACCTGGCAGCCAAGGAGACTGGACTGGAATGCACATGTGTGAACAATGAAGACTTCACTGTGCTAGTCAGTGGGGCCAGACAGCGGAGCCCATTGAGTGAGCATGTATATGTGTGGCCATTGCATTCAAAACGACTGAGCAAGTAGGGCCTTAAACCTGCACCATATTTTCCGTTAAGCTTGAACGTTCCTCGTCGGAAGCTATTTGGATGATTCAGAAAGCCAAAGCTATGGGCAACTGGTGATTGGCAGGTTCATCACAATACACCCACTCATGCTTCCCGTGTCACACAGAGTTTTTTGGCGAAACATCAAGTCACCCAGCCCCCTACAGCCCAGATTTGGGAACTCATTCCTTGTGACTTCTGGCTTTTCCCAAAACTAAAATCACCTTTGAAAGGGAAGAGATTTCAGACTGTCATTGAGATTCAGGAAAATGCAATGAGGCAACTGATGGTGATTGGGAGAACTGTGTGAGGTTCCAAGGTACCTGCTTTAAAGGAGACTGAGGTGTCATTGTCCTGTGTATAATGTTTCCTGTTATCTTGTATCTTTTTCCATAAACGCACTTTTTCCATAAACGTACTATTCTTCATAGTATGTGGCTGTATACCTTCTGGACAGACCTTATGTTCCCTAAGTTTGTCAGCCCCAGCAGAAACTGTGCTTCTGCAGAGCCTTTGGTGGAGGCTTTTCCTCCAGGCAGACCGTGGGGCTCATGCTAACTGCTGGAGGGCTCTGTACCACAGGGCACAGCCAGGCCACCGTCAGTCCTGATGGCTCCTACTGCAACTCCTTTCCTCATCGTGCTTTCCTCTTGTTTTCATTTCTTCT